GTCGAGTTGTATGAGCTGTTTATATGTGTTGGATATTAATTCCTTATTGGTCATATCATTTGCAAATATTTTCTCCCACTTAGTAGGTTGTCTTTTTGTTTTGTTTATGGTTTCCTTTGCTGTGCAAGAGCTTTTAAGTTTAATTCGGTCTCTGAAGTTCTTTTATAAGGGCACTAATTCCATTCATTCGGGCTCCACCCTCATGAGCTAATCACCTCCCAAAGGCCCTACCTTCTAATACCATCACATTGGAGGTTAGGATTTCATATGAATTTTGGGGGGATACAAACATTCAGTCCTTAACAGTAAGGAATCAGTAATGTGGTGTTTAAGTACTAAGGCCTTTGGTAAAAGATATCTTACATTTTACTACTCATATTTTCTTTTCCTTTTTTTTTTTTTAATTTATTTGTTTTATTTATTTATCCCTGGCTGCATTGGGTCTTCGCCACCACGCGGTCCTTCTCTAGTTGCGGGGAGCGGGGCCACTCCCTGTTGCGGTGCGCGGGCCTCTGACCGCGGTGGCCCCCCTCGCTGCAGAGCATGGGCTCCAGGCGCACAGGCCCAGTAGTTGTGGCCCACGGGCTCCAGAGCACAGGCTTGGCAGCTGTGGCGCACGAGCCCAGCCACTCCGCGGCATGTGGGATCCTCCCGGACCAGGGCCCAAACCCGCGCCCCCCTCATCAGCAGGCGGACTCCCAACCACCGCGCCACCAGGGAAGCCCCCTACTACTCATATTTTCTTACAACAAAGACTAAAAAAATCTAATTCATAAAGTGGAATGTTGGTTCCAAGCAGTGTGAGTGTATATAGTTGTATGAGAAAGAGGAATTTCTGAATGAGTATGGTGTTTTACACAGGGAAGATATTGGGCTTCCCTGAATGATATTAAAAACAACTAAAAAGAAACAGTGAGAAAACAATGTTGGGTTGGTGATATTGTAAAAGAAAAGCCATAACGCATATTCTTTAAATGATAGTTAACTTACAACATTACCATAAATCTCCAGAAGAATACAGATGTGGTGGGGCTTTAGCAAAGTGTAAATAGAGAGCAATCAAGAAGCTATTTTCGAGTCCTCATTTTAGGCAGTCTTTAGCTTTTGTGAGTGAATGTTTACTCTAGGGAGAACAAAAAAGCTAGAAAAACCCGAAAAGTTTAAGTATATTCTCAGATGACCAAGTAAACCAAATAGACCCTTTACATCGATTATTAAACACAAGTTATGTTTTTAAACTGTGTGGATTAATTTGCTACTTTTTCTCGCCATAATGTCAAACGATGTTTTTTTTTTCACTTGAAAAGGAGTAAGAAAAATGGCCCAATTCTTTTAACCCTTCTGAGACTACAGGAGTGATAATTATTTGGTAACCCTATTCTTTTCCATCAAAAAAGCTTCCCTTACTGAGTATGATTAGTTAGGTTCACTTTTAAATACTCCTTGTTCTAAGTTACTATCCATGTTTAGAAAATATTTCACTCTTAAAATAAATTGCTTAAATTATTTCCCTCACTGGAATGTAAAATATTTGCAACTAAACTTGAATGGGCTGTCAAATGTATGGCCTCTAAAGGTGATATCTTTAATGGTTTTAGAAATAGTATTTAGGGTGGTTATTTTGTCTAATTTTCTTAGAGTATTTATAAAGCAGTAAAAAAAAAAAAAGCCTAATTTTTCTTCAAAACTCTTTGTACATTTTAACCTCAAAGAAGATGCTCCAGGATTTTGTAAATAACCAGGAAGGTTATACTTAGGAAGTCTGTATATTTCATCGGCACAGACTCATCCTCTAAGTTTGGTTTGCTTGCAGAGCCTTTTACAGTTTGTATACCTCCGTGTTGCTGAGTGAATGTAAGCTATAGTCCTTATAGTTCTACTTAAGATCTCTCTGTAAACTCCAGTCTCTTCTTGAGCCTTTCTCTTCACGTTAACTTCATTATTGTGTAGTTTGAACATAATATTACTGAATCTCAGTTTGGAGACGTTTCGGTGATTATAGGGAAAGGGTTTTGTCTTGTGAGGAATCATCTTAGCTAAATAGCATGGAAACAAATTGATAGTTACTTTCTGCTCTTGCCTGTTCATGAGATACCTCAGACTAGAACTGATTATTGCAAACAGTTCGTCACATCACAGTCCTGCTTAAATTCTCCTAAAATAGTTCATTTTCAGTTCAACTCTGAGGAAGATAAATCTAGTCTAAAGTAGGATCTTCTGGTTCACAGGTTTTCTGATGAAATCTCCATGACCAGAAAGAAAATGCTGTGGTAACTAAATTAATTTGGACCGTGATGTAAAAAGTTTGCCCAGGGCAAAAAAAAGTAGAATTTGGGGCAACCTTTGTAAACTCCATTTGGAACTGAATTTTTTAACATGCGTTGGATTGGCTTTGAAAAAAATCTAACTTGTTTTGTTATGATGTAATTCTGTTTAAGGAAGATCTGGGACTGGTTTTTACCTGGGCTGCTGTTAGGCTTCTTAAAAAACCACTAGAGTTTCAGACCTTCACTTTCAAAACAAGAAAAGAAAAAAATATATATATTCATTAAAAAAATAATAAACTGAACCTACCTACAAAACCCCTGTTCTAAGTTAAGTACCTTACCATTCTTTTTTAGCTGAGTACTAGAAGGTCTTTTTTTTTTTTTTTTTGATGAGAAACAATGACTGAAGTGGGAAATTTCCTGCTTTTCTGTTACAGGGGAGGTTGGGATGGGTGCTAACAGAAGAGGGACATTTCATCATCTTATATTCCACTTTTCTAGTGCAGTTGCTGTCTGCTGCTGTCTCTCAGTTTTATTTACTTTGTTTCTGTTGCCTTCTCTGTTCATTGTGTCTTCTTACCCCAAGTTTGGGAACACAGGGTGTTGTGAACATATCAACAATTGTTCCAAGCCTCTGAGAGTGGGACACAGACACACAGCTTAAGGGTTTACTACCAAGAAGTATGACTTCAGGGAAAAACATAACCACAAGGTATCTTTTAAAGAAAGGTACCAATTTCTAGGGTTATGTGACTCTGTCCCTTAAATCTGAGATATTCTTCAGGATTATCTGCTTAACTCTTGTCTGCCCATTATAAGTACATGTTCTGCCTGCACTTACCCATGGCACAACCGTTATCTTTACTGATTACTGCCACCTCTGTACCTCTTGATTTTTCCCACAGATTCAACCCAGACTTTCCAGTTGCCTTCCATATTTATGTTTTAAGTTACTTTCCTACATCTCATTATTTCTCCCTGACTTTTCTATTCACCAACCCATTTCATTCCCTGTACTACCCACCAAGGTTAATGTGGTTAATGGCACCACTACCTTCATAGTTAGGAAGGATAAAAATCTAAGACCATCTTGAGCTGTTTCTCTCCTTCATAGGCTTACTGAATCCTTAGATACCAAATACTCTTTTTGTCCACACTGTACTAAGTTCTCTCCTTTTCTTTCCACTTCTCTTGCCTTGATTTTTGTGTGTCAGGCCCTGGGTTAGACTTTCTGCATACATGTTTGGTTTTTTTTAAATCTTTGCAGTTACTCTGTAAAGTAGGTTGCATTACCTCTTTCATTTCACATTTATGGATTAAGCTCAAAAAATAACTTGCTGTTCCAATAGCAGCGAAATAGCAAATCAGGGATTTGATGCTAGGTGACTTTAAGTCCAAGGTGTTCCCACTAAGCGCTCTTTCACCTAACATATAAGATTCTTACCTATTGCATATCTACCTGCTCATCTTTCCAGGTTTTGTACTTTCTCTCTGGGGCATCTTATGCCAACCATATGGAAATATTTCTGGTTCTGTGAGCTGGTCATGCTATTTTATACCTCAGAACCTTTGCCTCACTTGGTTCTCGGCTTGTCTTTCTCGACGCCTGTCTGCTTGTCGAACTCCTTTTCTTCAAGCACCTGCTCAGAGGTTACTTCTGGGTAGCCCCACCCCTACTCAAACCCTGACCACCCTCTCCGTCACCACCATGACGCCACACCATCACCAGTGCCTCTTCCACTACCCATCACCACCACCACCTGCAGGGAAGTGCTACAGATGTTGTTGGGTTAGGGTTATTATTTTGTCTTCCATTCCTAACTAGAATGACTCTTACTCATCTTTTTAGTTTTATTAGTCTTCACTGTGATTTGAAGCTAATAAAGATGTTCTGTCTTTATAAGAAGATGCGCACCATACTGTATACCCATTCCGAAGGAAACCATAACTGTAGAGTTAATCTTGGGAAGTTGTGTGGCATGTACCTGGCTTATTTATGTATTTATCTATGTCAGACGTTTGTTGAAGGCTCACTAGTGCTAGGTGCTGTACCAGGTGTTTAAAAGGGAAAGACAGCTTTGGGGGGAGAGGAGTGATTTGAATGAGGCTGGCATTTTTCTGTAGCTTCAGGGAGAAAATGTACCTGGAATAGGTGGTATGAATTGGGACTGTGAGAAATTGTAAAGACACAGACCTGACTCGAAGAGAACGGTTTCGATATTGGTCTCTTAGCAGAGTGCTTGCACCTTAGTGGGAAGTCAGTGAATATTTGTTTAATCAATGGCTGAAAACCAATTAATTTTGCCTGTTTAATGAAGTAATGAAAAGTATAAAATTAGGATGTTGGCATGTAATGGTTTTTTCCCTTGTGTTGATGAACATTTAAACTTATAACCTTCAAGGTAAAATTCAGAAAACCAAGTTATTCATGGTAATCTGAAGAAATTCTTTTTTTGAGAAGACATGCTATTGACATGAAAAGATAATTTGCCATTGTATGTAAGAATAGATCTGTATATGATAAATGCTTCCTGTTGTAAGTTTTTAAAACTTCCCTAATACTTTGTTTTGTGTGTTAATGAGTTATCCCTCAAAAGAGGATCCTTAAGATAGCTTGTAAAATGTTTATGCATAGCGGTTTCCCTCCTTATATGTTTGTTTTATTGTGTTACCCTTTCCGTTTAATGTAACTTGCCCTTACCCCTTACCCTCCGCACTTTTTTGTTTTTGCAGTATCTCTTGCTCCTCCTCCCTCCATCCTACAGGTAACTCCTCAGTTACCTTTAATGGGATTTGTGGCCAGAGTCCAAGAAAATAGTAAGTTTATGTCTTCTTTATGCTGTAGATCAGATTCTAGGCATAAAATGTCATTTACATATGATTGGCTGAATAGTCATTCATTCACTGATACTTCAGATATTTGAATATTATGAACAGTCATTGTATGAGCAGCTAGTGTGGATGGTAAAATAGTTACGATGAAATTCTCTACTTTCAAACAACTTAAAATCTGGTAGTGAAGATAAGACAAATAAATATAAAATAAGGCACATGTAAAAAGAAAGATCACATCTAATTGAGGAGGTGCTCTTTAATCACTGGATATCCCACCATTTTCTCTGGGTTGCTCAGACAATTAGTGGTCTGTCACTGGAGTTTTAGGGTTTTGTGGCCGGCCTGAGAATCTTCTTCCAATCCTGTGATTCCAGGTGTAAAAATGGCCATGCCATGGTGGGTCCCAGGGGACCAAATTGTCAGCCTGTCTCCCATGAGGCCTCATAGATTGGCAGTGAATTTAAGCTGGCCTGTGGTCTGGTGTTGAATCATGCAGGATCAGATAACTAATTGTATTGACAGGTCGAGTTTGCTCCTAGGGAAGCATTAAGGAAGCTGAGGAGACTGACGTCTGCAGAGCAGGAGGGCCTGTATCTGTATTTAGTGAGGAATTGCTAAAGCAGTGAACATAGTCTGTATGATAGATGAGTTCTCTTCTTGTGAGCAGTCTACATAGGAACCATGTCACAACCATAAGGCTGTACGGGTGTGGAATCTGAACTAGGGGGATTACACTAATGAAGGAGATAATGCCATCAGGCTGATTAGCCTAATGCATGCATCTCATAACAGGGATGGCCTCAACCGTGGGATAGAAATATTTGCATTCTGTTGCTTAGGACTCCTGCTCCTTTGGAAATGGGCATTGCCAATACTAGAATGTAAGCTCTATGAGAGCAGGGATTTTTGCTTGTTTTTCACTGGCTATTTCTCCAGCACTTAGTAAAGCATCTGACACAGAGCAGACACTTTTGAGTCCCTCCCTTTTTGTGTGCTTCCATAGCTGACTAAATGCTCCCTTTGTATCGACACATTTCTTTCTTGTATTTTAACTGGTTATAATCCAGTCTTATTGGCCTGAGGGCTCAGTGTCTCTTTCAGGTGCCTTTGCATCTCTGTTTGCTAATTTCTGAAAATAGTCCATTTTACCTCTGTTTATTGGAAGGTACCCCAATGAGCACCTCCAATATTTACCACAGTGTGCAATATTTACCTTTTAGGATGATCTTTTCTCATTTCTTTCCATAGTCATATACATTTTCTCACCTACAAAATGTATAAAAATAAGAAACTTTGTATATGAGGTGAGCCGTGGCTGATTTTACAGGCATAGCAGGACTTATACATTCAAATGAATGTTGTCCTCTTCAAAACACTCACCTTGGAAAGAGATATACCTCTCTTTTGGAATGGTCTTTATAGCTTTCAAGGACATTACTTTGAAGATAACTCTGTGGTAGCAGATATTTGCTCTATATTAAGTTTGATGTTTGGAAGAAGTCTGGAATTATTTGGAACCAGTTATACCGGGCTAAGTAATGCAGCTGTGATTCTGTTATTCTTCTTAAACCCTTCTCTGGCTTCGCATTGCTCTTTGGATAGAGTTCAAACTGTTACAAGGCCCTTTCTGCTTAGTGCTGTTCAGCTTCCTCATGCCTCTTTCTACTGAACTTTGCTCAGCTCTTTCAAGGGTTCCTGCTTTGTATTTGTTATTCTCCTTTACATCTGACATGAAATATCTACCCCCACCCCGGGCCATTAACTCTTACTCATCCTTCAGGTTCCAGGAAGCCTTTCCTGACCCACATAAGAGATGTGGTCTACTGCTCTGTTTTCCATGATGACTTAAAGCACTTACTGCACTTAATTGTAAATGCAAGTTTGGTTGTCCATGTCTCCATGACTTTTGCTCACTGCTGTATTCCCAGTGCTGAGCATCATAGCTGGCCATGGTAGGCTTTCAGTTGATGCTTTTGAATGAATAATGAAACATGACTTTAAAGTTGTTGAATTGATCTCATTCCATAATAGTGTAGCTTTTAAGATAAGAGGCATTGGAGTTCAAATTCCTGCTCTTCCACTTACTGTTGGAGTACTTAATCTTGGAAAGCCAGTTTACACATCCATAAATGAGGATTAAAAACACCACCTCCCAAGGTAAAGATTAAATGAAATAATGTATTATAAAGTGCTGAGTAATTGGAACATTTTAAGTAAAAAATAGTAATCATTTTGGCTAAACTTTATTCAGCATCCATCAGCACTAACCCAAAGGGAGGAGAAAGTCAAGCTTGGGGATTTGAAACAGTATAGTTGGTGGGAACACTTCTCTTGCCTACTTATTTGTTGAAAGATTATTATTTTCAAGTCTAGGTTTATACTCCATGAACATAGAAGCTTGGATAGGAAACACTGAACTTTGCATAATGTGTAGTTTTGTTATCAGCTTGATACATTCTTAGTTTCAGATGCACCACCTCCACCACCACCTGTGGAAGAACCAGTCTTTGATGAGTCCCCACCACCACCTCCTCCTCCAGAAGATTACGAAGAGGAAGAGGCAGCCGTGGTTGAGTATAGTGATCCTTATGCTGAAGAGGACCCACCGTGGGCTCCAAGGTCTTACTTGGAAAAGGGTAAGTTTCAGAGGGATATCTGGAAGGATGGGAAGAAACCTCTATGTACGTAGAAATGAAATTTGCTGGTACTGAAGAGAATCTTATTTATTTTTTACTTATAAGTAAAGTTTGGCCTGTATTAGCCTGTATATTTTAATTAATTTAGTTTACAAGGTTCATGATTTTGGAAGTCACACTGGTAAAATCCTGTGACTGATTTTTATTGATGATTATATGTTGTTCCCGTTGAACATGCTTTTTATGAATGGTTTCTATAAGGCAAAAATTTTGAAAAGATAGGTTTTTTTCTGGAATGACTCAGGAAGAGGATGATCTTTCCAAATTATGTTATTCCTACTCCCATGCTGTGAAGCATTTTTAAAAAAATATTTATTCACGTTGGCTGCATCGGGTCTTAGTTGTGGTATGCAGGATATTCGTTGTGGTGTGCAGGATCTTTCATTGAGGCACACGGGCTCTTTGTTGTGGCGCGCGGGCTTCTCTTTAGTTGTGGCGTGCAGGCTCCAGAGCATGTGGGCTCAGTAGTTGTGGCACACGGGCTCTCTGGTTGTGGCGTGCAGGCTCAGTAGTTGCGGCATGTGGGCTCTCTAGTTGTGGCGTGTGGGCTCTAGAGCACGTGAGCTTAGTTGCCCTGCGGCATGTGGGATCTTAGTTCTCCAACCAGGGATCGAACCTGTGTCCCCTGCACTGGAAGGCGGATTCTTAACCACTGGACTACCAGGGAAGTCCTTAAAGCATTCTTTTGTGGCATCTTATATCAGATATTCCAGTTTAAGTATCTCCATATGAAATTTTCTTCCAAAGAATATGGTTTCTCAGTTTCTTTGCAGAGTAGGTGTTTGGCATTTCTTTTGGTGAAAAGTTTCTCTGAATATATTAGCTAACCATCATATGACACTTTTGGGACACAGGCTTACAAACGTCATCAGGACTAGTCAGCTCAGAAGAAATGTGTGCTGTCTTGAAGGAAATTTTCTGTTAAGAAAGTTAAAGCTACTAACTCACTGGGTTTCAAAACTGACTGCACATTAGAATCACCTGGGGAGCTTACATCAACGAATAGTGGACTTCCACTTCTGGCTAAGATAGAGCAACAGTAATCAGATTTACCCTCCCTCCTAAAACAATTATGAATGAATCCAGGAAAAAATATAAAAGATAATGGTTTTCAGACATTAGGTAACAAGCATTGGTGGACTATGGTCCCAGAAAGAAGGAACTCAAACACGGTGAGCCCTTAATTGTCCTAGCTTTGCTATCTAGAGGCAGTTTCCAGGCCACAGTGCAAGGAGGTGGAACCCAAATAAGCCTGGAAGTCTCACTGAGTAGAGAAGATAAGAGATCACAGAGTTTTGGGAGACCATGGAGAACAGGTAAACTACTCAAAGACAAAGGACAGAGCTCTGGATATCTGCAGAAGGGTCTCCTTGAATCTTTGACAGAGTACTGATCTGTACACGTATGTGAAGAAACTACCTGAGATTAGAGAAAGAACAATCAGAAAGGAGTAGGCAGAAAAAGTCTTGGAAATTACAGGCCTGGGAATAGTTCATGTTCCCGAACGAGCAAGAACAGAAAGACCCTGTAATACACAAGGCATTGAGAAGAGGCCTCAAAAGTGTGTCCCCTCAGTTGTGGGGCAAAATTAGCCCTAGATTATAGGTTGCCCTGAACTGCCCTAACAAATGTTAAAATGCAAACTTTGAAAACATCCAACTGATTTCAAGTAACTTAACTGAGTTCCAGGACAAAACCCAGCATTGTGCAAAGGAGTCAACAAAATCCAGTACACCAAAAAGTAAAATTCATAGTGACCAGCATCCAATCAAAAATTACAAGGCATGTAAAAAGTCAGGAAAATATAACTCATACCTAAAAGCAAAGCCAGTCAGTAGGAACAGACCCAGAAGTGACCAAGATGATGGAATTACCAGACACGGGTATAGCTAGTATAAATGCCACATATATCCAAGAAGGCAAAGGAAAACATGCACATGAGAGAGAAGCAGAATATATTTTCTTAAAAAAGAGAAAGAGAAACATAGAATTTCTGGAGATTGAAAAATATAGTATCTGAAGTGACACTTAGAAGAAAAGATCAGCAACCTTGACAATATGACATTAGAAACTATCCAAAACGAGGCACAGAGAAAAAAACCAAGACCAAAAACACAGCAACAGATATGTGGAACAATATCAAATAATATTTATTTGCAGAAGATATTATCTTGTATGTAGAAAATCCTAAGGAATCTACAAAAAAGCTGCTAGAACTAAAAAGCGAATTTAGCAAGATGGTAGGCTACAAAGTTGATTTGCAAAATTAATCGCATTTTTATATACTAGCAACAAACAATTAGAGATTGAAATTTACAAAATAATACCTTTTGTAATAACATCAAAAATATGAAAACTTAGGGATCAATTTTTTTTTTTTGGCCGTGGTGCGTGGCTTGTGTGATCTTAGTTCCCCAACCAGGGATCAAACCTGGGCCCTTGGCAATGAGAGCTCAGAGTCCTAACCACTGGACCGTCAGGGAATTCCCAGGGATAAATTTAATAAAATATATGCAGGACCTGTATGATGAAAACTATAAAACTTAAGAGAAATTAATAAAGGCCTTAAATAAATTGAAATAAATAATGTTTTTTGATCATTATTGTTAAGAGACAGTTTTTCCTAAACTGATCTATAAATTGAATGCAATCTCAATAAAAATTCCAGCAGTCATTCTTACAGAAAATGACAAGGGGATTCTAAAAGTTAAATGGAAATGCAGAAGACCTAGTTTAGTCAACACAATTTTGAAAAACAAGACTAATGTTGGAGGATTTAAACTACCTGATTTCAGAGTTCTGGTATAAAGCTACAGTAATCAGGACAGTGTGGTATAAGCATAGAAATATACATCAGAATCCAGAAAAAAAAAAGAATCCAGAAAAAGATCCACACATACTTTTTGACGAAAGTGCAAGGTAATTCAATGGGGAAAGGATAGTGTTTTCAAAAATAGTGCTGTTAACAATTGGATATCCATATGCAAAACATGAACTTCTACCCTTATTACCTCACCATACACAAAAATTAACTCGAAATGTATTTGGATGTGAATGTAAAACTGTGAAACTTCTAGAGAAAAATATAGGAGAAAATCTGTGTGTTCTGGGGTTAGGGGAAACTTTTTGTAGAGAACACATTAAAAAACATGAAGCTTAAAAGAAAAAATGATAAATTGAATTTCATTCAATTAAACTTTTCTTTTTTAACGATGGTGTTAAGAAAATGACAAGGCAAGCCATATAGACTGGGAAGAATATTTGCAAAATAACTCAGGAGACGACAAACAACTTATAGAAAAAAACAGTTTGGAAACACTTCATCAAAAAAGATGTATGAATTGCAAATAAGCACATGGAAAGATACTCAACATTATTAGTCAGGGAAATGCAAAGTGAAGCTGCAATGAACCAAACTACTTATCACTACACACCCTCTGGAATGGCTACAATTAAAAACACTGATAATACCAAGTGTCAGAGAAACTGTGGTGAAACAGGAGCTGGTACAGTGTACATTGCTGGTAAGAATGCAACGTTTCAGCCACTTTGGAAAACAGTTGGCAGTTTCTTATGAAGTTAGATATACACTTACCAGGTGGTCTGGCAGTCCCTTCTTAGATGTTTATTTACGAGGAATGAAGATGTATGTTCACAGAAAGACTTGAACTTGATTGTTCATAGCTGCTTTATTCATAATAGCCAAGACTGGAAGCAACCTATACATCTTTCAACTGGTGAATGGATAAGCTAATTGTGGACTATCCATCCATTCAATGGAATACTGTTCAGCAATGGAAAGGAATAAACTACTGGTATGTACAGCGATATCGATGGATCTCAAGCATTATGCTAATGAAAGAATCTAGACACAAAAGACTCATACTTTATGATTCCATCTAAATGAAATTTAGAAGATGAGTGGTTTGGGGGGACCAATAGTGGCTACATCGGGGCATAAGGAAACTTTGGGATAATGGCCATTGTAACAATTGTGGTAGAAGTTGTTCATTTGTCATGTATACAGGTGCATACATATGTGAAAACTCACTGAATATAAACTTAAGTGACTGTGTTTTGTGTCTAAATTACTTCTTAATAAAGCTGCTTTAAGAAAAGAAAAAAAAAGAGCCCAAGGTACACTAGGGTACCAATGTCCAGTGGCCTTGGACATTGACATGTTTTACAGATTCCATGACATGTTTTACAGATTCCTTAGCTGATTTTAACACTGTCCTGGACAAAGTGATGACAGTTTTCAGCTCTGAAAAACCAGCTCAGTGAGTCCTTAAGAGAAAAGCATAATGAAGAGATTTGCTTGTTAAAAATCTCCTCTTCGGTGAACATGTTAAAATCTGGAGAGATTTGTAAGAGAGGAAAGTAAGTTTATTTTCAGTCCAAATAACTCTTTAAAGCTTAAAAGAAAATGCCTGAGTTGTTTCCTAAGATATTTTTCAAAGTTAATCTCTGTTAAGCTCAAATCTTTTAAAACATGAAAATCAAATAACCTCCTCCTTACTCTTTCTGGAGAAACAGAAATAACCGTGTTCAGCTTATGACTGATTGCTTTTTGTTGGAGTGCATAAATGTTGAGCCTGTTGCCTAATGTCTTATTTTGCTATCTTAGTCTTAGGACCTCGTTCTCAACTGTGTCTGCATATTAGGGTCACCTAGGGAATGTTTAATATGTCTGCACTTCCAGATCTATTAAATCAGAATCTGTGGACATGGGACGCAGGCATCAGAATTTTTTAAAGTTCCAAGGTTGAGAACCACTGCATAGGTTTATCTTAACCCTTGATTATTAGCCAAATGGAGATAATTTGTATATGTAAGTATCTTTATTTAACTTGGGTAGAGAAAAGATATTTTCTTTTATTTATTATGTGCCTGGCATGATGCAAAACTTATTACATATGTAAGGCAGTTAGTTTCCCCATTTTGCAAACTAGGAAATTGAGGTTCAAAATAATTTATGTTACAGAATATGACAGAAGATGTTTGTGTTACAGGAGTATATGTATATCATATATATATCATAATAATGGTAATAAAAGCAGCTAACATTTATATAGAATGTTTACACATGGCCCTGTATCGTGTGTACATTGCCTCATTTAATATAACGATGCTTTGAGGTATTGGCACTATTATACCCATTATACAGCTGAGTAAAAAGCAGCTTAGGAAAGTTAAGTATGTTCTGTAAAGTAATAAGTGGTACAGCTGGGATCTGAACTAGGTGGCATAACTCCTGAGCCTACATTCTTGACATTGTCTTAAGCTTGTACTCTGACAGACCTGGAATTGAGTCTTGGCTGTAACGTTTACTAGCGTTAAATTATTTGTGACAAATTGACTTGTCAGTGCCTGTTTTATTTCCCTTTCTTCTATCAAGCCATCTGTTCTTGTGTTTTTCTAGCTCAATGACATAACTTCTTGGTAGAAGCATAAACAGTGTATGGTAACTTATCAGATAACACTTCTGTCCTCACAAGACTGTGACGGTCCCTTCTCTTATTCATCTTTGTATCTCTAAAAATCAGAATGGATGCTCCATTAGTGATTGTCAGAAAATGAATAGTGCCATTAATTCTGTCTGGGGAGTCCAGAAAGCTTCTCAGAGGACGTGGTATATGGGATGTGCTTTGAATGATGAGTATGAGTTTCTCAGGCAGAGGAGAGAGAGAGGAAGGGCTATCCAGTCAGAGGGAATCCTCTGAGTCAAAAGGGCATGGTGAGTAATGTCCTGTGCTGCGGGTGGGGGTGGGGGGGACCTGGGTGGGTTGTAGGGAGGGAGTGGGCAAGCTAAGAGTGTAGGAAGGGAAGTAAGTTGTAAATAATGATGGGAGGCCTTGAATACCAGGCTGAGGTGTTTTGAATTTTTTTCTTTTAAAAAAATCTGATGGTAGAGGGAAATTGTGGAAGATTTTAAATAGGTTAATGTTAAGTTCCCATGTATTTGGATTTTAATTTTTGAAAAAAGATACTTGATAATAGTGTAGTGTGCATTAGAAAGAAAGAAAAATAGGAGTTGGGAAGACCAGGTTGGGTATCTTTCTAAGCAAGGGAATTAGGGCCTCAACTGAGGCAGTGGTGCTGAAAACCTTGTTCACATAAATAAGTAGATGCAAATGGAATTATTTTTCATGCAGCACTGTCAGTTCTTTTAAATCCTTCAGAGTTATTTGCCAAAAATCAAATAATGTTCTATCTTTAAAAATCATGTTTTATATGATGTGTCATCTGATAACCCCATTAAAGTCCACCTTAACTTTTGTTAAAAGCAAAAGAATGGGAGCCACTTAAGTTGCAAAAAGGTTGGGATAGTCAGTGGAGTGATTCTCTTTCTTAACCCCACACTGGTATTTTGAATTGCCCCTTTGGCACTCAGGGTGTTTTATACTTAAACATAGTACATCACTGTATTTTTGTTAAGTAGGAGAAAGATAAACAGGAAATGAGAACTTTTATGACTGATGCTTGACAGAGGGTATCATCTCAAGCAGATCAGATTTAGATGCAGGATTTATAAAAGTTGAGGATCTAGAAAGAAACTCTGTAAAGTCATCTGTCACTCATGCTACTTAGAAAATCTTCAGGTACTCCCCAGTGATACGTGTCTTCCAGCTTAAAGACTGCTGCGCTGATTAGGGCGGCGAGTGTGATGATGGAGAAGAGTGTTTGGGTTTGAGAGATTCAGAAGGTGTAGAATTAACAGGACTTGTGGATATTTTCCTCTGAATTACTTTTCAGTGGGTTTGCATTTCTATAAGCATCAAGAATGTTATCAACCCCCCCCCAAAAAGCTAAAAAATACTCCATTGACTAGAAATACTAAGTATTCTACATATCTTGTGTTCTCTTTAAACTTGTATGTCATTTAATTGTATCTGTTTAGATGTTAGAAATACACACTAAACTCTTTCTAGGTCCCTCTAAAGTGTTTTCTGGCATCCTAGATCACTGTAATGGCAAATATTCAGAGTTTAAGAAAGCTGTTGAATTTTACTTAAAGCAGGCCTGGAACAAATTGCACTGTATCAAAAGTCCCTGTTTTAGTTTCTGTTTCTTAATTATTTATTTAGGATTAAGGTTGCATAGAAAACAAAGTCAATATATGCTTCTTAAAATGGAGAGATGGAGATTTATTGAGTGAAATTCTGAGTGGTATAATAAACATAGAGGATCTTTCTATAAAAAAGATAAATCTTCAAGTGGATCTGAGCAAGTTATAGGGTATCCCAATTTAACTAAACTGTTGAGGAAAATGTAATACTTAGGAACCAGAGATTGTCCCAGATATCATTTAAAGGCCCCATTTACCAAGTTATTTAAGTAATGAAAATCATAGGAGAGCTTACAGGTATCTTGGTTTTCTTAACACTTTTAGTCTGTTACTGTGGATATGTTAAATTGGTGGCATAATGCAGCATGTGTTTTGAAAGAATATATATAGTAGACGCCCGTCATTCACACACATAACCTGTGGGAATTCAACCACTATTGGCTTGAATTCAGTGAATGGGCATAGGCTCTAGAAAGTGTGAGAAAGCAGATGGAAGTCTGCTCTTCCCTCAGTCTCTCTCATTTTTTTCACTGGCCTCTCCTAGTGTATCTCACTGCACTAGTCTAATTCTAATGTTTAAAGGTACGTGTTTTTACATAATATGGTGCTTTAACACAAGCTCAACTGAAGAAACAGCCATCTTTCCCTATTCTGGGATTGTATCTCTTCAGAGAGATTGTTGAACAGTAAGTGTGACTAAATACTGTTTTTGGCCATTGATACAGTTTTGAACCTAACCTCAAGATGGGATTCCACTGTGCAGGACTGGGTATTAGAAAACAGAATTCGCAGGGAGGGTCCTGTGTTTAGAAAGTCACTGTGTTTGAAGTGCTGCAGAAGTTCGGAAAGGATAGATATTCATTTATTTGGTTCTACCTTTCTAGGAACGTTATTCTTTTTCATATCCTTTTTCTCCCCCCTCTAGTTGTGGCAATTTATGATTATACAAAAGACAAGGAAGATGAGCTGTCCTTTCAGGAAGGAGCCATTATTTATGTCATCAAGAAGAATGACGATGGTTGGTATGAAGGAGTTATGAATGGAGTGACTGGGCTCTTTCCTGGGAATTATGTCGAGTCTATCATGCATTATTCTGAGTAAAGCTCAGCAAGGCTGTGTTTCCCTCACAGGAATAGTCAGGTCTTCCCAGATTATCAAAAGGCCCTGGGGATTCCCCTCCAGTGAAATGAATGAAGGATTCAAATGACAAAAACTACTTATGTTTTGTTTTTTTTGGTTTATCCCTCAGTATTAAAACAAAAAAGCAAGCTGAGTTTGAACAAATGGCTCTTTCTGCCATCACTTATACTATGCTGAGCTGTTTGGACTGAAATAAAGTGACGGTTTCTGAATATATCAGAGGTATAACAGCATAACTATGTGAAACAAATCAGGTTAAAACTGATTCAGAAAAGAAATCTGGGATCTTTCTCAGGAATACCGTACATGCGTGGGAGTTCTCCTCCTGCGGAATCTGTGGCATTGGATGATCTGCAGTGCCTGTGGTTAGCCTCATGGCCCAGGGTGTGCCCCAGCCCCACTTCCTTCCACTTGGATGAGGAGGGGGAACCAATATTTAAATACCATACATAACCATTTTTATAATTGTTTCACATGGCTTATTTCCTCTTCAACACTGTAAATCCTGCATTCTCTCAGCACTTGAGTGCACCAGGTGAGTTAGTGTTGAGCTGACTTGCATCCCTTCATGTTTCTTAGTTCGTAGATTTTAAGAATGATTTGAGTCTCCAAACATTCTGAAGGTGGTTTTGTTCTACTGCGCTGCTGCTGCGTGAGACTGCATTGCCACTGCTGGCAGTGCACCCAGAGGTGTGACAGGTGCAGCCTGGTCCGTGCGCTCAAGTGGGCGTGCAGAGGTAGACACGAGGGTCTCTAAGGTTCTAGAGAGGTTGAACTGCAGAAGTGCATCCTAAACCCTTGCCTTAGGTGCTGTTTTGAGGAGTAGGACCTTAGAGGTCAGACCAACTATTTCTTTACTTCTTTCACTATTTAGATAAATAGTTTTGTTTTTTTTTTTTTTTAATAGCAGTTATTTTCAAGTCTCGACAGTCACTGGGAATAAAAGGCTTGCTGCTGTGCTCTCTGAATGTTATGGCAGGTGTTAGCTACTGCTGAATTTACTCACTTAGAAAAGGTAAATATTCCCCTGATTTTGTGTGTTTGGCTTTTGAAGTAGCTGCTGTTGGTAAGGATTTGAACCTTATCTCTCAGACTAAGAATAGTGGGATAAGTGGTATAAGGCCAAATACTTATTCAAGTTTGTTTTTTTTTTCACCTGCACAATTACAACTTCAGATTCAGTGGAGTTTGGAAGGCAGATGGCTTTAATCCTCTCTTCTGTAATCAGTATAAGAAATATTGAAAAACATCCAGGAGGCCTTGCTGCTCAGCAGCTGAATACTGTGATGATAAACCAGCTCACAGGCCAAAGCCACCATGGGTCCTTTCCAGTCCCAGTGACTTGGCCAGAAGAGAGCTTTGCCAGGTGACTTCCCAGTGCTGGGGGAAAGGTGAGAGGCGGTAGGCTGCATATATTTCAAACATGGGCCTTGAACATAATAGGTAGTGCAGAGAGAGGAACTTGATTGAAAAATGAACAAGGGTGGTAGGTGTGAGGGAGTTCAGATCGTGTAGACAGAGTTAATATTCCACCTGTGACTCTGTTATCAGAGCAGAAAACTTACCACCATTTAACTGAGACCCAGGTACAGTGTTTCCTATCAAGATTTTTGTTTTACGGTTGCAGGTTTTTTTCTCACACACTGCAAGTTAGCTCTTTTTAGATTTCTCCAGCACTTTGAATTTAGTTTTCATTAACTTGCCTTCAGTACACATTACACTTCATGCTTTGTTAGGTCACCTTGACGCCCTTTATTCCCTGTCTTCCTTCAAAGTAATGGCCCTTGAGTGTCCTCTGAGCCTTCAGCTTCATTATGGCTGCAACCAAGACTATACTTGGAGAGGTTAAACTCTTCTTAGTGTTGGTGTGTAACTAGGAAAACTGTTTTGAAATTAGATGTTCAGAGTTATTTAAATAGCTTTTCGCTGAGAAAACTTACTGGACTAATAAGGCAGAGGGTATTTTGAAATCCAATAAATAGTGCCCACAGCTCACACCTACAGAAGCCCAGAAGACAACTGTGCAAAAGGAGTTGGTGGTGGTCGGCTTGCCTGTTGGACCTCTGCTGGATTGGGGAACCGAGAAGACGTCAGTGAAGTCCTTCAGGCTGAAGACCTGCCGCAGAGGGATCCATGGGTCAGCTGATTTTTCCTTTATTTTTTAGTACTAACGCGTGTGATTTTTTTGTTTTAAAAATAACACCTGTTGGATTTTCTGCATATTTTAAATTTTTGTATAGTTTTGAATTCTATATATCGTTTTGGAAGGATACTGTGTAATGATGGGCCAGGCCTAAAGTCATTGGAGACTTTTAATGTATGTAACATTTCATAGATTGCATGCTATTAATAGTATGTGAGGGTAGTATTTGTTTTATCGTAAGTTTCCCCCATTTATCTTTTTATACACTACAAGATGGTTGGTAGTAGTAATTCTAAATGAGTGCAGAAATCTTACATGCTACATAATATTGTGGCAAAGATGATCCAAGTCTAAAATCTGACCGGTAAGCAACCATTTTATCAGGCTAGAGGGAATCTTTTTCCTCTTGAAGTGTTTTTGACTTGTGTCCACTCCCCTTTTCCTTAAAAAAAAAAGGGGGGGGGGAGGGTTAAGAGTTTGTTCCCTTTTTTAAAGTATTACTATTTGAAAGGCCATAGGGATGTAAATGAAAATATACTTCCTTGTTGACATTATGGCCTAGGCAATAAATTGAAAACCAAAAGTGTCAGTGTGTCAAAATCTAGACTTGAGAGATTCAGCCTGCTGTGTTTGAAATACATATGAAACCTTTAAGATGTCTTGTTCATTGTTTCCCATCTTTTGGCTACTTGCTTTCTATCTTCTCCAGGGGCACCTCCTGTTGCTACAGTAGGGTTAAGGGCCTGCTACTCTTGCTGCATTCCTAACAGTCACTGGGTGAGACATTTTCATCCCTCCCTTTCTTTTTCCCCTCCTGCCGCTGTTTACTACCCAGCTAGAGAGGCTGTTTTATGTGTCTTCACAGCGGTCTCTGTAATGTAGCTGTGCTCCTGCGCAGTCTCTTGATATTACTGAAGACTTTCCTGTTTGAGAGGCATCAAAATGACAGTAGTTTGCCTTTATCCTCTTATGCTCATTTGCTTTTAGCAGGTGACCTTTCTGCATTAAGAACTGGTACTTTGGTACTTTCTTACCACCTTTTCTCCTCAGTGGAGACAGCATGGCATGTCCTGAAGGCCACCTCTCCCTTTGAAAAGTGTTTGATGGAGGAACTGGCAGGTGGTTGCTACGTCTTGGAAAAGAATGGGGATCTGCATCACTTCCCATCTGTTCACTTCTGAACTTCTTTGGCCAGGAACTCCTGATCAGTGTTAAGGTGATGATTTCCCTCACATGATTTACTTAGAGTCATAGAATTTTAGAGCTGGATGAGATTTCAGAAATTTTAGTTCAATACCATTTTACTGATGAGGTTTAGATGTTTCCTTTTCAAATAACAGCTAGTTAACAAAGGTAGAATTCCTGACTCAGCGCCTGGTACTCTTTCTTCAACTGTCTTAATTGTGTTGTATGTTTCTTTTAAAGTTCTACTGGATGTCTTAAGGAAGATACTTGAAAAGATACGCTGTGTCTCCATAAATACCATTCAGAGTGTTGTTTAAAGGAGTGTATTGAGTGTAGCCTTCATTAGTGAAAGTAATCTTCATTTTAACCCTTTTATAACTACACTCAGTACAAATGGTCTTTTCCATAAGGTGTATGTAGCTAAAATGTTACAGTGTCTGGGCACTGGAAAGAGCACAGCACAGCCTTATTTGAGAGAGCCTTAGAAAACACTTCTAAAACAGGCATTGCGCTCATTACCTTATGTTTATTTTATGCTGATCTTTGTTCCTATTTCTTGAGAATCTCATAATTCTTCAAAAAAAGGAGGAAATCGACAAATGACAGGGCCTAGCTGTGTATAAATGATCCTTGCTAAATATCGAGGTTTTTTGTAAAAAATCAAACAAAAGACAAAAAGCTTATTTTCACATTAAAATGGAAACGTCTTTTGCAACTTCAGAATTCTATGGAAACGCAGTTTTTATCATATTTGTGTCCATGCATCTTTTTCTTAACGAGATGATGGTTTACAAAAAAGAATGTAAACAATTTGTGATCTGGTCAGTTATACTTTTAGCTCCCGGAGGGAGGGTTGGTGTTATGAGTTGAGTAAAAACCCATGTAGGAAAATTTGAGGGAGCAGTTTGTTGCCAGTAACGTTTCTTGTGTGTGCCATTAAACCACCTCCAGATGAGTTGCGGGAACATTCACTTTTTAATTTTGAAATTGTATTTCGAATTAATTGTTGCTGTGTACTAAGAACTTGGCCTAAATAAAATCCTACAAAGTATATCCAAATGTCTTGTGAATGTATTTCTGCAAGTAACTTTTCTCCTTTCTTTCTTTTTTTTTTTTTTTTTTTGGCTGTGCTGTGTGGCTTACGGGATCTCAGGTCCCCGACCAGGGACTGAACCCGGGCCACACCAGTGAAAGCCCAGAATCCTAACCACTAGACCACCAGGGAACTCCTGTAACCTCTTTTCTAAGGTGGTAAGTTTAAGTGTGTCAGAGAGAATCCGTCCCTGTTGCACTAATTACTTTCTTTCTGTCCCTATTTTTGCTGTAAGTGAACCTGAGGTTTTGATCACTTTCCACGAAATACATACAGTTCTTTTCTTTTAATATAAAAAAGGAGACCTTCTGTTCTTTTTGCCCCAGTTGTTTGGTAAATGATAACATGATTTGT